ACTTCAAGAGATTATTGGACAACCGTTTGTGTGATAAGTAAATAATACTTATCCATATAAAACATCTTCAAGACATTTTTCAAATAGGCTAACTGGTGTATAAAACTTCTTCAAGGAGAAGCTCGATCTTCAGGTCGAGACAATACTTGGATTTCCAAGTCTTTTATTTCAAAAACTCCGTCTTTCGGCATGAGTTGATATCACCAAGCTCTCTATGTGTTTCAATGATCTTTAAACCATCAATATCGACTATGATAATAAACAAATAACTCATTAGCAATTCTTTAACGAACACGTAATGGTACATATTTGCATATTCCTTCTTCGGGAGGAAAAATACACAGTCAACTCAATCATTCAATATGCATTCCTTCTTCAGGAGGAAAAACACTCGGTCAATAATATTCAATTCTTACAAAGAATTTTGTAATTTAATGATACACGTTGCGATTTTCACTTTCCACATTCCAAAAGTGTTGAATCCATCGGGGATTTACAAATAAATATTAGCGTCTAATGACCAGTAAATTACAGTTATGACGTTCATCAACTGCATATCTAAATTCATAATTCACTGCCAATAATATTAATTTGCGGAACGTAATTCCATATGTTGTGGGAGAGAATATTTGATCAAAATTAATTCAGGGTCTCTGCGAAAACCCTTAAGCTACCAGTCTCGCTTTATATCATACCACCATATTGTTTGTATTTCTCTTTCGTACAAACACCCATTTGTAACCTACAGGGTTAACATTAAATGGTTTACGTGTTATAAAGAGAATACAGTTTTAGCGAGCTGAGCTGTACATGCCTTAATTGCTCCGTTATACATAAAAAATACCAAGGCACAACTGGTGCCTAGCTCTGGATCCAGATTCTCATATAACGAGAACAATTTGTAAAGGCAATTCTGTTGTCGACAACTATAACATTTTTCATAAATTTCTCCCATATATATAAAATAATGGCAATTTCTAATTCAACCAGACTCTAGACATTTCCCAAAGATATTTTTATCTGGTCGTTCCGCATCCCCAGTATTATGATTTAGGGTGCACCTAAAATTTTATTGGGGTTTTCGCCTTCTGGACGAATGTCTTCAGGACATACTTCTTTAAGCGATTTCAAGAGTGACACCATTTTCTACTAGATTTAACTTTCCGCGAATTATACCAACATGTCTCCACGCTTCTGGCGTCAAGGAGCATTGGTAGATACATATGGTCCAAGTTGGGGAAAATTTGTAGGACCTAGTCACTCTTTTTATGATCAATATATATATTGGCAGATTAATTATCTTCTGAACTTCTAGTTCAGTTTACTTCTTCTGAACTTCTAGTTCAGTCTACCTAGTACGTGGATTTAAATATTGAAGATCTTTTTCATCAATCATCCATAGAATTTCTCGGCATTCTATTAAATTTGAACTCTTATCTCCCCCTAATTCCGTGAAATGATCATCATAAAGTGTGCAATCAGCGTACCTAATTATATATTGATCCCTTATCATGGGCTCTAAGAATTTAAATATCAGACGGAGGTTTATAATCAACATATATATGCCCACAAAGGTACGCTATGGTGGTGATATAGGAAAAAGACTGCACACTGTGAATAAAACGCAGATAGGAAATGTTTGATTTTATACCACGTACTAGGTTCTAGGGGGAATAATTATGATATGCAGTAGGTTAGATTGTGATAACCACAATAACATATAAAACTGATGTCCCCAACAAGAAAATATATAATTGCCCAAGGTGACGCACTTTAAAAATATATCGCAACATATGAAGTACCCAAACCATATATGCAATCATCTAAGAGTAACATATATAATCAGATATGAAAGCGTACATAACAAATGACATTATAAGGGTACACAACAATCATAAGGAAGTTTGAAGCTTGTCAAATAAAATAGATCTTCAAGATCTTCTAAAAATCCTTATCCTGAACTTTACATTAGTTCACTCACTGGTTTGGGAATTGCTTCGTGCAAATTCACATGATATAATTCACTCCCTCATTTGCTTCGGGCAAACTAATATGAAATAATTTATTCCTTCGTTTGCTTCAGGCAAATTGATATGATATAATTTATTCTCTCGTTTGCTTCGGGCAAATTGATATGATATAATTTATTCTCTCGTTTGCTTCGGGCAAATTGATATGATATAATTCGCTTCTATCTTCCAAACCAATAACATCTAAATCAATCATATCATGTATGACAATAAGTCAAAGATCATTTTTATAAAGGAGTATACCACTCCTTAAACAACACAGAATTGCACTAAGCCATATTCAGAGAGAATTTAGTCATGTTGACATCATAACTTTAGTCAAAAGAATATTCTCATAATTTGTTGATAATAGCAATCCTTCCGGGATTGATAATAATTCAATCTTGAATTAGCAACCAGTCAATTCCATATGAGAGTCATGTTGCATGCATGAGAAAAAAAATTCCATAAATAAGCATGCAAACTAAGAGAAGTAACTCTGAGGAGTAAACTTCCCGAATAGTAAATTTTGAATATTTAATCCAAGTAGTAAAATCAGCAAAGTAAAATCACATTGCCCTCATAATAATTTGCATCAAAAAAAAAAATAACTTTGCACTCAAAACACATTTGGAGTGTATATACTACTTGGTTACGCAATCAGTTATTGCGGCCATGAATTAACTTTTCGAGTGCTTCAGGCAAAAACTAACTTCTCAGATGCTTCAAGCATGAGTTAACTTCTCAGATGCTTCATGCTTCAGGCATAAACTAACCTTTTTATCCATGAATATATTTTCATGAATTACCCAAACATTATCATGACACCAATCATTTCTTCATCAATACCTCATCATTTCATTATCATCATGTATCACAGTATTTGCTTCTGGAAAATTACCTAAAATCATCAAGATGATGCGCATTCTTCGACGACCAAATGCACCCACATTGTTAGCAAACCTACTTCTGGCTAGAATTTTGCCTCGATGAGTTTGGTCGTCCTTGAATATATTGACCACTTTGTTTCTTATTCTGAGCTCGAAACTCATATCACACTGGTTATAATTTCGACTGCAACCCCTTATAAAGTTGCTCAACTGGGTAACATTATGTGCTTCAGGCACCTGTGCAAAAACCGACCAGACATGCATTTTGATTCTTCATCAACAACTAGTTATGTTTCTTAGCCACAAGGAGTGCTAAAATCAGCTTAGAATGCTTCTCATAATTTGTTGTCTTGTACTACTGCTGGAGTACAAATTACTCGCATGAAAAGTTGGCAATGTCTTTCCAAATAAATATTTCTATGAAACTTCTTGTTTAGAGTTTCACTTGCGAGACTATTTTGTACATAGCTGAATTATAGTTAATCGCTGAATTACATTATAATCTCAAAATTAAACATGAGATTAAACTAGTCAAAATGTGTCTGAGGAAGAACATTTGATGACTTCTGGTCGGAATAGTCCTTCAAGGACTTCCATTAATTCAAGGGGTTCTTTATCAATCAGATACTCATTTTTAAGGTCGTGGTGACGTATGGAAATGAGAGCTTGTGCCTTCTAGGCATTAGTGCTCTGTGACTTAGCAACAAAAAACTTGGCTCAATTCTTTAGATGCCGAATATATTTCAATATCAAGAGCCCAAGCTAACTAACTGCTTCATTCATAAGTGATCTTAATAAATTCACATTTTCAATGAAAGGTATGATCTACAAGATCATCATTTGATGCAACTTATACTTACAGAAACAGTAGTTGATATTCATGTGAAAAACATGTCTTGTAAGCAGATTTCCAATAGAACGTGAAAAGGAAATATTTCACATGTTCTCATATAGATTCATACTTCTCCATGTAGTCAGTTTATATGTATTTTTCAAAAGAAGCATTAATGCCAAAAATGGAGAATAGTACATAATCAATCTACAAGATCAATATAGTAAATATTATCTTTTTGTAAGGCATGAAGTCATTTTAAGTGAATATAGTAAATTCCAATAATGGAGAATAGTGCAAGAATCATTGTTTCACTGGTAAATATCAAACACGTGTATATTTAACACATATGTATATATACAAATGAACACATCTACATTTGCACGTATATACATACAATTTAACATATAACCACGTGTATTTACCATTTCAAAGCATCATGACATATGTAGAACCTAACTCATATACATGAATTGAGAGAATTTGGGTAAATATTTGAATTTGTAAATACATATTATTTACCCAAATTCTTAACCATGTCTTGATGATGAGTTCATTACTAAAAAGTTGTTAACAAACATGAAGAATTATCACTCATTTCATAGAAACAATAATTGAAGGTCCCAAACCAAACTCATAGCCATATATACACATAATATTTATATATAAACAATGGCATATGATTCAAAAACAAAAATGCACAGGAAAAATGAACCAATGGTACCGTTCGCCGGAGATTACGATAGAGACTCGTGCTGATAACGTGTTGTAATTTGGCCTACTGATTAGCTCAATCTACCGGGATTGTTGTACGGTAACGCGCCAATTATATGTATAAACAATATTTTAATATGGAATGGGAGAGTAGAGAGAATAGTAGAACACATGATATAAGAACTTCAAAAAGGCTCATCTTATTCATCCTTCAACATGTATATATATACAAAATAATACAACCCTTCATTTCCTAACATAATGAGGAAGTTGAAGATAGGGCAAATGAAAAGCCTCAATGATAATGGCCATTCAATAATATATTTATAACAGCAACAAGTACAATAAAAATAGAGCTTAATATACATAAATATTACAGTACAAATACATACATCATGACTATAATGTATGGTAACGAGTTTGTATATATGGCTATTAACCATAGTACCTTGAAACAATGTTGGTTTGGACTAAGGTTGAGCTTGCAAGGTAAACGAACTTTGGTCCACAAGGTAAGGATTGCGTAAACAATATGCCATTTTCATAGGCTAATACTGAAATTATTAACCTAATTTATAATTGACTTTAAAAAATACCTTAAAATACAATATAACTTTTGCATTACATATAGTCAAGGTAAATTAAGTATGGTAAAGCTAAGATTTAAAAAAAAAAAATCACACATAAAAATCTCTTATAATTGCGTTTAAAGACTACAGTCCTTATTTCATATGGGGGTTCAATAATTGTTCAAACACCATAGACTGATGCACCACCATCCACACGAATGATCTGACCGGTGATAGAAGAAGCCGCCGGAAAGCAAAGGAATGCCACCGCCGCTGAAGCTTCTTTTGGCTCTACAAGCCGATGTTGTAGTGTCCGTCCGATCAAAGCTTCTATTACTGCCCCAAATTCTTCCTATAGAAAAACCATATGAAATGATAAAAGAGTTCATATTATATAAAGATCATTAATCATTTATTTTCGATAAAAATATTAAGTAAAAGGAATGAAATTTACTCTTGATGATTCAGTAAGAGAGGTTCTCATAAGCCATGGAGCAACAGCGTTGACGCGAATGTTGTCATTTGTCCATTCACAAGCTAAATTCCTCACAAGTGAATTAATACCCCCTAAGACGAAAAAAAAAAAAAAAAAAAACATTTAGTACATTCAATTGGCAATGACAAGTTTGATAGTAATATAAGATCAGAAATTGTTGCCCTCAATTCAATACCTTTGGTTGCAGCATATATAGTATGAAAAGGAGCATAAACAAAACTAGAACATGAAGAGATGAAGACAATGCTTCCATTTCCTGTGGCCTTCAACAATGGGTGTGCAAGTTGGCAAAGGTTCAAAGAAGCCTCAAGGTTTGTGCCAATAGTGTTAGAGAAATCTTGACCATCTGATTTTAAAGTTTCTTTTGGTATAAGTATAGCCACATTGTTTACCTATGGTAAAAACAACTCAAATTAGTTTAACTAAACTCTTTTATATCTATTGATATGAAACAAAAATCAATTTATTTATTTTTTATTATCATTGCTTGTTTCTTACCAAAATGGTGAGCTTTCCATCGAACTGTTTGCTGACTAATTGGATTAGATTTTCACGTTGAGACGGTTGTAAGATGTCGCATACAGAACCAAAAACCTTATATCCCTTGGCTTTCCAATTCTGAATGCACTCCTCAAGCTCTTTCTCAGTACGTGAGCACGTATACACAGTCGCACCAAGACATGCCAATTCTTCCACTATCGCATGCCTAGTGTTGATACACAAAAAATGATAAATGTAAATATTTTGGTAATGATGTAAGATAATATATATGCACCAATATAAATTGTGAAAAAGACTAAGGGTGTGTTTGGTAGTATGGTAATGATAATGCATTTCGGTGAAAGTTTGGTAGTATGGTGGAATTGGAATGATTATCAATATTGTTGTTTGGTTATGTATGATCATATAATGGGAATACAAGTTTTAAAAATACAAGCACAAAAAATCAAGACAGTTGATTCTAATATAAAAACATCCAAAGCATAATATGAACAAAAAAATAAAAACAAAAATCTAAAACTAGGGCTGGGCACTTCGGGTTTCGGTTCGGTTTTTTTCGGTTTCGGTTTCAGTTTTTCGGTTTTAAAAAAATTAAACCATTCGGTTTAAAATAGAGTTCGGTTTCGGTTTGAAAAGTTCGGTTCGGTTCGGTTTCTGTTTCGGTTCGGTATTCGGTTCGGTTTAGGTGAAAGTCTACTATTTGAACGTTTCTTTTTTTGCCTAACCGGTTGTTCAGTTGGCTCACTTGAAGTGCCACTTGAAGTGTTTTGTTGATGACAAAATGAAAAATCATTAATCTATAGTTAATATTTGAAAAATAAAAATTACTAAAACACCAAATGTTTGGACTTACAACTTGGAGTTGAGATTTGAGGACTTGAGGAGTTAAAATTATTAATTGTTATAATATTTATATACATAGAAATTTAATTAAAATATAATCAACAATTAAAGTAATTATATAATGATTTTAATAAAATGATAATTAAAGAATAAGAAACAGGTATCATAGTTAATTATATATATATATATATATATATATATATATATATATATATATATATATATATATATATATATATATATATATATATATGATAATAATGATAGAATTATGAAACTTTAGAATTAAATAGCAACGGTGTAATAACGGTATAATGATATTTTAGTCTAACAAGAATGTAGTACGGATAATTTTATTCATTATATTTGAAGTGTGCAATATTTAATGAAAAATGTATACCCTTATAAGCATACAAATGTGAATATAGACATGAATGTGGGTATAGCTTAGTGGGTAAAGCTCTTAGTTTATAATCAAATGAGTAAGGGTTCAAACCTCACCTTAAACATTTAATATAATATATATCTATTAATCTATTAATATTAAAATTAAAAAAAAAAAAAAAAAAAAAAAAAAAAAAAAAAAAAAAAAAAAAAAAACAGAAAACCGATCGGGTTATCGGTTCGGTTCGGTTTTTAACCGAACCGAACCGAATCGATCGGTTTCACCTAAATTAAGACCGATCGGTCTTTCGGGTAGAAACCGAACCGAACCGAACCGGTTCGGGTCGGTTCGGGTTACCCGAACCGATTTGCCCAGCCCTATCTAAAACCACTAATCCAAATTTAACAAAAATCTAAAAGCACTAATCCAAACTTAAAAATCAAATTACCAATTAGGAGGGGGAATAATGGAATGAAACCCCTATTTTATTAGAGAATGAGTTTTCTAATTATGGAGGTAATCAAATCTCATATTAGTGCTCTAAAAACCTGTCAACCAAACAATAACAATAACTTTGATTCTCATTCCTGATAGCTAAACCTATTGTAGACACAGGAAATCTGAAGCCGACAAATGGGCTGGTTTATATGTTTTGGGCTTCGTTTGATGAAATTTGACTAATTATTGATTTATTTAGATTAATTAAATTGGTCAATTAAATTGGCCCAATTGTTCGAATTAATTATAAATTGAAGACTTGTGGGAGATTATAAAGATGGATTGATCCATATCTGGCCCAGCAAGTAAATATTTATATATTTAAATTAATTTATTTAATTTAAATATGTGAAAAGATATTCATGTATTTAAATTAATTATTTAATTTGAATATATGATAAGATCATGAACCTGGATGCAATTTTGGATAAATATTCATATTATCCTAAATATCAATTGATAATATAAGGATAATATTGAAGAGTTTGAGATCTAGTGAAAATCCCTCATATTTTCACCTTATAGAGCTCTTCATTCATTCCAAAGAACACATCTAGTGAAAATCCCTCATATTTTCACCTGAGCTCTTCATTCATTCCAAAGAACACACTTGAAGAATTGAAGAAAAGCCCTGGATTGAAGATCAAACCAAGCTCAAGGATTGAAGATCAAACCAAGCTCAAGGATTGAAAATAAAACCAAGTTCAAAGATTGAAGATCAAATCAAGCTAAAGGATTGAGGATCAAACCAAGCTAAAGGATTGAAGATCAAACCAAGCTAAAGGATTGAAGATCAAACCAAGCTAAAGAATTGAAGATCAAATCAAGCTAAAAGATTGAAAATCAATCCAAGTTAGAGCATTGAAGATCAAACCACGCTAAGTGGATTGAAGATCAATTATTAATTATTTCAACCATTCAAGCTAAATTAAAATGGACTGAATATCAAACCAATTAAAGACCCTCATATTTAATTTTCACTGAAGATTAAGCAACAAAGCCGCCCTTCTTTGAAGAACAAAGAAGCCCTTCTTTGAAGAACAAAGAAGCCCTTCTTTGAAGAACAAAGTACAAGCTGTATTCCGGAGGCCCTTCAGCCAAAGTTTCAAGTCAAGTAAACCAAGTGGAGAATCATAAGAGTTTCAAGTCAAGTAAACCAAGTGGAGAATCATAAGATTTTGAGAGATTTTGTATCCGCGCACTTTTGAAATTTAAATACATATATATTATTCAACTTTTTCTTGTTCACACCTATGAACCAAACACACCCTAATTATATTGAAGTTGAAATAAGTTACCCTAAACCACGAGTGCCACCGGTGACAAGGGCCGTCATGCCATGAAGAGACCACCTTCCAGCCATTATGTTATGTTGCTGATACTTAGCGTTTTTTGCTAACTTGCTCTTACTGCTCTGATGATCTGCAAATCTTAAGATATGTAACCAAAATATATGTATATATAGGTACAGAAACTGTATGTGGTAGGTATTGTAACTCAATTATATCTTCCTGGCGGCTTCAAGTATATATATTATATTTCAACGGGGTCCAAGTGTCCAAATTATGTGTTTATTATATTCCAATTTTGTTGACCGTCAATCTTCTCACATCTCATCTTTTGTTTCCTTTCATTTCCCATTTCCCATCTGATAAGGCACACTGTTTGCACCCTTTACAAAAGTCTCCGCCTCGCAATCTCATCTGTTATTTTTTTAATTTATTATTATTATCTTTTCTACCTTTCTTTATAACTTACGTGTTACAATTGTGACATACCAAAATTACAAGTTTTTCTAATTCTAGTGTCTGAAAAGTACATTTTTCAATTCTGGGTATCAGAATTCTTCCAAAGGCTGAACCCCAACCCTAAGGGCCCCCGATCCGACAGAGCATTTGGTAGGATGTAAATCATGGTAACTCAACTGAACATGAACCACAGAGGCTAGACCGTACTCATTGTGCACAAGGAACCCCTTACTTTGAGAGATTGCTCCCACACTGCCGCTGGTGAGACTCGTTCGCTGGTCATTCTTCCAAAGTTTTTATTGCAACCGTATGTTGTTGTTTTTATTATTATTATTATTATTATTATTATTATTATTGTTGTTGTTGTTGTTGTTGTTGTTGTTGTTGTTATTAAAAATCAATTATTATGATTTTAAAATATTATTTAATTTAGGAATAAGGGTCAAATAGGCCATCGAACTGCACCCGATAAAACAATTAGGCCACTGAACTTAAAAAACCAACAATTAGGTCCCTAAACTAATCAATTTCAAACAATTTTTTCAATTTGAAGGTTTCCAACAAGTCAACAGGTCATCCTTCCAAATTAATTATTTTTTAAAATTTAAATTTTAAAAATTAATTAGTTTTAAATTAAACTTAAAAAAAAGAAAAAAAAAAAAAAAAAAAAAAAACTGGTTCCGGCCGGAGACGGTAGTTTTCGGCTGGATTCCAGTTTTTTTTTTTTTTTTTTTTTTTTATAATTTAAAACTAATTAATTTTTAATATTTATTTTTTTAAAGAATAATTAATTTGGGAGATGACCTGTTAATCTGTTGGAAACCTTCAAATTGGAATAATTGTTTGAAATTGATTAGTTTAGGGACCTAATTGTTGGTTTTTTTGGTTCAGTGACCTAATTGTTTTATCATGTGCAGTTCGATGGCCTATTTGACCCTTATTCCTTTAATTTACTTATATGGAGTAATTTATATTGTGAATTTTTATATTAAATTTTAAAACAATTTTTTTGTTTAATTTCTTTGATAAATTTGAATTACTCTTATTTTTTATAATTTTAATTCTACGTAATATTTATTTTAAATATTTGCATAAATTTAATATCTAAAATCTGTCAGAACTCCATTTAATCTAATAACAAGTAAATTGGAATGGTAATATGGTATAACGAAACTATGCATGCCTAAAATGCATCCATATCAATGAATTTTTGGTGATTTTTTTTTTTTTTAATGTCCAATGTGATGTGGAGGTGAGAGAAGATGGAAAGAGTTTTTGTTTTTAATTCCTGCATTGTAAATGGTTTTTTTGAATCTCAAGGAGAGGAAAAAATATAAGGGAAGCCAGCTGTTGTAAGGGTTTGTTTGTTTGTTTTCTTTTTAACTGTTTTTGTCATATCCCAATTTTTTATTTTTTTGCTTTTTCTTTTTCTTCCTCCCTTCTCTCTTTATGTTTATCCTAAAAAACCGTGTAGTGTAGATGCTCTTATTTTTTTATTTTTTATTTTTTATTCAAAAAAAAATTTCCAACTTCAGTGGACAAATCTTAAATCCTCAAAACACATGCCTCTAGAACCTTAAAGGATAGTAAATCACATGATATGTTTTAACTGAACTTGATGAGTTCCCATCAACAAGTTGTACACAACTACACACAAGCAGTGGTGGAGCTGTATGGGTGGGTAGGGGGGCCTCTCCCTTCCACCCTGACCCCCAAAATTTTTAATAAATATATAATTATATCTAAAAACTAATAAGAGTGAATGGAAGTTATACCTTTCATTTATATACGTTTTTTTCTATTATACACACACACACACACATTATGTTATAAGAGATGTATTATACAATATTTTGGTTTAAAATACTTCTATTGTTATAACTTCTGTTATCTTTTCCAATGTAGTATTGGGATTGCCACTTACAAACCCAAAAACCATCTTGTAATCTTCATTTATTTAAAAAAGTATTGTAAAAACCAAAATAGGACTCGAAGTGTACGTATAGTCTTTAGCTAAGTCTAACCAACAAACGTACCACTGGTAAAGTTATGCTTTAATAGACTTAATTAAGCATCATATATACTTTATGACAAACTTGTTATAAACTAGGATAATCAGCAAACCTTAGTCGGTAAGTAGAAGTTTATTGATAAAGCCATATAAGTGGAGCAAATACGGTTTATTGAAGGTATTCCAGTAGAGTTAATCAAGTCAGGACTAGCATATATATTATGATCGAACTTGAGTACACAAAATAGAGAAATGCTCTCAAACCCCGACTATCCTTATCCCTGCAGATCTCTATCACTTTTTAAAATGGGTCACACTCCCACATCATCAAATTTGCAAATTCTTTACTATTTGTTCTACATCCCTGCAAATCTTTCTCATTTTTAAATATGGATCCACTTTTATTTTATATTATATATATATAATATAATAATAAAATAATAGTAGCCAAGACCTTAGCTTGTGGTCTAATAGCACCAAAGTTGTACTTCCATATGGGAAATTCGTTGTGAGTTCGAGTTTTAGTGGAGGCGGTATTGACTCTTTATGCTTTAGTAGGTTGAGAAAATAGTTATGAATAGAAAATACATTGTCATAAAAAAAAAAAAAGAGGTACGGTCACACTGCACGCAAAAAAAAAAAAAAAAAAAAAGTCAGCGTAAAACAATTGAAGTACGAGGAATATTGAAGAATGTCTATTGATGACATCCTCAAATCTATTGAAAAAGAACTATTGGACAGAACCACCCAAATAGATATACAAAATCCTGAAATCAAGGCACAAAGTCAAAAGCGGAAATGTTTTTTTTTTCTACAACATACAGACATGCCATTGATTTTAAGGTGACATCTTATGGACACGCTTGCCAACCTACATGGAGTGTGAACGGATAAATTTGAATGATTTCAAATTTAGCAAAAGCACTCAAGCTATACAAGTAAAAATCGAGCATTCATGAACTTATAAAAGAAATTTTATCAATACGATGAGAATACTACGAGAGGGAAACAAAGCTTTCAAGTAATATTTAGAATTTTAAACTTCACTTAATCATTCGGATTTAAAGTGTCAAACATTCATCGTTTATAAAACAAAAACCTCAATCATTAATTGAGGTGATAGAAGGTAGCTAGCTCAAACCGACTTAGCCGTAGATCCTTGTAGCATATAGCCCAAATAGTGAAGATCAAGGCAACTTGATGGAAGACTCTCCAATCGAAGGAGATCGAAGAAGTAGGAAAACAACATTTTGATCTAGTTTTTATGAAAGGCTATTCACTTTTAACTCTGTATTAAATTACATAGTGAATTATTCCTTAGCTTGTGTGAAGGATATGAGTGGATTAAAATGATTACATCACCCGCCAAACCACTATAAATATCCTCCTATCTACTTTTTGTTTACACACTTATTTTTCTTCATCCATATATCACAAAGAAACACTTAAGCGTATAAATTTCTTACAAACCTATGGTACATTTTTTGTTTTTGTTTTTGTTGTTTTTAAAAATAGACAAGTAAAAACGACTTTCAATACGCTGTTGAATAAGTCCAAAGAATTTTTTTTTTTTAAAAAAAAAAAAAAGGAAACAAAGGGATTTAAATTTTAGAAATAATCTCAAATGATGTAGAAGGAAAATTCAAATCATGTGTGACACACACTCTCCTCAAAATCGATTCGTTATTTCCAAGAGTTTTAGGAGTGTTGTATTATCATGATAAAATGAATTATAGCACTATATTTGAGTGCTCAAATATGCACATGAGCAAAGTGAGCACTTTGTAAATAAATATTGAAGTGTTGGCAGAATTTTTCAAGGAAGAAAAGAAGAGTTTTCGTGGAATGAAAAAATCGGAAATATTGACGTTTTAAAGTAATTATACAAACATTCTACCATCATAGGTATTTGAAGGTGAAATGAAATTATTAGCACTAATGACATTCAACATTGAACTCTTTAACCCTTACGTTAATAAATTAAAAAAAAAAAAAAAACAATACCGAATAATACAACGGTTACAATCGTTAAAAATTAAATTCTCAGTTTAAAATTGAAATTCGATATTTTAACTCCTAGAATGGACATGAATTTAATCACCCTCAATTAATTTTAATACAGAAGAGGTTACTATTCCAAAGACCACAACTTCGGAAAACAAGCCTTAATTTGGCAGACACAGTGGCAAACCAACTCCACTGGCAAACCCAGGTCTGCCATTGGCAGAGAGCTCAACTCGGTTGGTAGACCCAAGGTCTACAGTTAGCATAGCGTTTGCCGAGCTAGTTCAGTAAGGAAAAAATAAGTTCAAAAAATTGCACGCCATTCGTGCTTGCAGGTTGCGGGTGCAGTGCACACGACTCATTTTGCGATTTGATTTGCACTCCCTCCCTTGCATGTAAGAGAGAGCTCGTATTCTATGCAATTCAAAGTCCTCCAAAAAAGGAATTGTATATATACTAGTGCAAACTCATTCCTTTTCCAATGTAGGACAAAGGCTATTACAAAACCTTCTCAACTCCATTTTTCTCAACTCAAATAGGTATATTTTGGGAATCAATTTATCATGCACCATTATCCATTTTGAGTATATAATATATTTAATTAAATATCTCTTACTTAGGAAAATCTGAATCCATTTTCACCTTATTCAAATTAGAAGTTGATCCAATTCAAAACTTTGCCTCAAAATAATATTTTAAATGTAATTTTTCCGATTGA